CTCTCTCCCTGCGCCCAAGGGTCGCTCTGTCTCGCCCGTGCTGACGCAGCTGCACGAAAACAGAGGCCTCCTGAGTTCGTCGTCGCGCAGCTCCATCGTACAGAGCACGCATCCACTCGTGATTGAGAAGCATGAGCTGCACTCTGCCTGGCCCATCTATCAAGTGCCCGACGATCATGAGCGCGGTGAGTCGAGCAGCGCCGCGAGTATGGGGGCCGGGAGAGGGTCAAGAACAGGAGCTCTAGCATCCCTTCACCTCAACGCCCTCGTCTGAGCGACACTTTTGACACGTTGCTCGACGCGCAGAGATGGAGGGAGTCAAGGCGCGCGTCGAGAGAGATCAGACATGCTACGGACCCGGCGACACTGTGACGCTGCGCATCTACGTGATGAGCTCTCGCATCGAGCCCGTCAAGCTCAAGTCCGTCGCCTTTAGCGTGCGCGAGACGATTACATATCGCGGCGCCAAGGCGAACCGCCTCAGCTCCCTCGGCGCCAGCGGCGCCAGCGGCAACAAGGCGGCCTCGCAGCGCACCGAGGCCGTGGCGCAAAAGTCAAAGGCGCACGGCAAGAAGCTGTACAAGGGCGAAGAGCAGTTCTTCGAGCTCTCGTGCGTCATTCCAAAGTCGCACGCACTCATGACGGTGCAGACGGCCAAGCACATCGAAGTGTCGTACACGCTGCGTGTCTATGTGGATGTGTCAAAGGCGCCCATCGTCATTGATCATCTGCCGCTCACCGTCTCTGCGTTTCCTTCGTCCGTCTCGCTCGACACCGTGCGCCGCATCGGCTACGTGCCAGGCCTCAGTCTGCCCGCGCCCCAAGCACAGCAGAGCGCGAGGAAGCCGCAACAGCGACAAGGCACGGCCAGTACGACTACGAGCGGCGGCATGGGCATGGGCATGGGCATGGCACGCTCGCAGTCCTTCAGCAGCAGCACGGCCGCGCCCTTTGCGCTGCCGGGACGCAGCGGCAGTGGCGATGTGCTGCGCCGGCGCGACACCGTCATGACGCAAGGCACGGCCTCGACTGGACCGGGCATGGCGGGCCGCGGCGTGCCCGGGCAGATCTTCAGTTGGGGCCAGCTCGGCTCTGCGCAAGCGTACGATGCCTTCGCTCCTCATCAACAAAGCCACTCCTCTGCGGGCATGGGCCAGCCTGTGCGTCCGGCATTCGCAGGTCCAGCAAGCATCTACGAAGGCAATGTGCTGCACGAAGAGGAGAACAGAGCGCTGTTCCATCATGCCAACCAAGCCACGGCAGCTCAGATGCTCGGCGTCGATCAAGACTCTCTTTCGGGCCCCGGCGTCTGGGCCGCCGGCTCGAGATTCTCGCACTCGCCTCGCAGCGAGTCGCCTGCCCAGATGGCGCGCTTCGAGCCCATCGCAGAAGGCGTGCCTCTGGCTCCGAACCCTCACGCTTCGCCGATCGCCTCGCCCTCTCCCGTACTCGGCGGCGCCGGCGCATCAAGTGGCTCGGCATTGGCGGCGCAACAAGAACAACTGCTGCGCTTTGCAAGCGCACGCTCGATCTCGAGACCGGCCAGCGTCGTGGGCGCGGCGAGCACGACGAATGCGAGCGAGGCAGAGGCGGAGAAGATGCGTCTCTATGAGCATGCACGCCTGCAGGCCGAACGCAACCAACGCCGCGCAGATGAGAAGCGCGCCGCTCAGGCTGCTGCTCTCGCTGCTGGAGGCGGCGCCGCAGGCATGCCGACGAGCCGCAGTGCTGGCCACTTGTCCAACTCGGCGGCAGGCGCAGCTGCGGCGCCGACTGCAGGTGGCTCAAGAGTCTTTTCCGCACCGACGGCTTCGGACAGTGCGCACAACGAGAAACGGCTGCTCTACGAGCGGGCAAGACGCGAAGCCGAGCGCTACCAATCTTCCTTCGAGCAGGGCGCCTCATTTCCTCGCGATGAAGCGCTCGTCGACCCAGCGCACGCTGCAGCACCCTTGGGCTTGGGTGCCGGTCCCAAGCCGGCGTTGCGAGTAGGCGTCGGCCTCTCGCAGGCTGAACAAGAGGCGGAGGAGCGAAGAAGAAGCAGCGCAAAGTATTGGATCGACAGTCCGCACGTCGACATCGCAGCGGCAAACGCTCCGGCTCCTCGGCAGTCCGTCATCGGCGGAGCTCATCCCTCGCAGCCCGCCGCTGCCTCCTCTTCGTCGTCCTCAGCGCACATGTCTGCTCCATCGACGAGCGCGCACCACGCCGCACCCTCGCACTCCTATCCGACGGCAGAGACGGCAGAGGAGGAGAAGAGGAGCTTGTACGAGCGTGCGAGGGCGCAACAGGCCGAGGCGGAAGCACAGGCGCATGCCGAGAGCGTCGCTGCTGCGTCTGCTGCGGCGATGAGCAGCGCTCCGACCTCCTCTTCCGCCATGGCCGCTGTGTCCGGCAGCAGCAGCAGCAGCCGTGCTGCCGCGGTGGCGCCGGCAACGACATCCTATCCCTCGGCCGAGGAGGAGAAGCGCAGACTGTACGAGGCCGCTCGTGCCGAACAAGAAGCAGTGGAGAGCGAGGCGCACGCAAGAAGTGTCGCTCAAGCTGCAGCGGCGCTTCGATCGCCTCTCGACAATGTCTCTTCGCAATGGCCTGCGCCAGATTCTGCTCCTCCCGTGCTCGACGAGATCGCTTCAAGCCCTGCTGGGCCTTCGACTGCTGCGGCAAGTGCTGCGCCAGGCTTCACTTTCTCAGTCTCCTCGCCAGTCGGCGCCGGTGCAGGCTCCTCTTCCCTCGGTCCTTCGTTCGTGCCCAACACGACCGCCTCGCTTTCACCACTGAGCGCAGCGCCCGTCGTGGATGTGTCTCCCATGTCTACGCCCGCTCTTCCTTCCGCCTCTTCTGCTGCTCCCGCGCCATTCGCTGGCGCTGGCGGTCCAAGCACTTCTCGCGCTCCTCCACCTGCGGCGCCTCTGACGACGCACTCAAGTCAACAAGCACACGACGAGAAAGAGTCGGTGCGTCTGTACTACGCTGCGTTGGAAGCTCGAGCCAACGGCACCTCGGCGGCTGCCACTTCCTCGACGCCGGCTGCCGCCTCTTCGACGCCAGCGCAGGCGCAGACTTCGAGTCTCGCTGGCCCCGCCCTCGCTCGGCCAGCGGCAAGCTACGCCGCCGGCTATTCGCGTGCGGGCGAGATTGCAGCGCCCGTGCCGCAGGCGCCTGCGCCGCCCGTGTCGCAGATGCCCTCGATGCAGCGCCACCAAGCACCCGCAGTGACGCCTCGGCCGGTCTCCTACGCTGCTCCTCCTCTCCCGGTCGGCGCTCCATCGTACGCAGCTCCTGCGGCGCATCCTGCCTCGCAGACCGCCGCACGGCCCGTCTCTTCGCCAGCTGCAGCTGCACACGCGCAAGTCTACTCGAGTGCGCACGCCTATGCTCCACAGCAGCCTCCGACGTCGCATCTTGCCAGTGCGTCGTCCGCATCGAGCGATCTGCCACACCTCGATGCCTCCGTCGCAGCTGGGAAACAACGCAGCATGAGTCCGCGCATCGACGGACCTTCGTCGTCGAACGGCTATCCCTCCAACGGCGCACTGGGCGGTGCTGGCGGCGGCATGGCCTCGTTGGGCGCTGCATTGCCCGAGATGCGCGCCTTTACGCCCTTTCAGATCGATGCGGCCCTGCCGCCGCCGCCGCCTCCTCCTCCACTGCAGGGACACGCGCCGCAGCAGTTTGCGCCGAGATACGCGGCGCGCTGGGATGACGAGGGGCCGAAGAATGCGCCGCCGGCGGCGGTGGCCTCGGTGCCGCCGCCGCTGCCGCCCAAGATTCCCCTGCAGGCTCGTGCCTAAGCCAAGCAGCGCTGGCACGGCGCAGAGAGTGGGTGACGCGCGCCAAGCAGAAGCCACAATGCCCATGCCCACCTTCTGTCCATCATATACTGTCGACGCCCTGGCCTTGGCGAGCCGTGCGAGCGCCCCGACGCGACAGCGGGAGCCAAGGGGTGAGATGTGATGCACGCGCTCTGGCGCTTGCTGCTGGCCGGCACGGCGGAGGATGCACACGTGCTTGTGCCTAGGAACGTGCCTTCGCGGGCGCCGTGGTGAGGCATGAAGGCATGTGAGACGGCCGAGCACGAGGTGGATCTGCAGCGCTGATTGATTGCGAGCGGCGGCGGCGTGTGGAGCTGGCCGCTCAAGCGACGTCACGGTGCGCCGGTGCCGCGGCTGGTGCTCCGCCGCTGCTGCCGCCGTGCCGGCGGCTCGGTCTCATCTTGCGCGGCCGGCGGCGGCCATCTTGCTTTAGCTCGCGATGGCGCCTTCTCCCCAACTGCTGGCGCCGTGCCTGCGTCGCTTGATGAGCACGGCGGAGCAAGGTGCACGAGGCAGAGGTGGAGAAGAAGCGCGGGATGGCAGCGAAAGAGGCCGGCGCCTCTCCTGTCGCGCCCCTGCCTCTCCACACGTGCCCTTGGCCGCACAGCCCTGCCCTGCACCTGAGCGCAGCAGGTGCGCCGACGACGTCCTCTCGTCTGGCCTCTCATAAAGCCCGGATCCGCGCTGCCTGCTCCTCTCCTCTGCTCTCCCACTACGCCCTTCAACAATGCAGCTCGCCTCTTCCCTCCTGCTCGCTGCCGGCGTGCTCTTCGGGCATGCCGCCGCGACGCCGCTCGTGTTCGAGCGGCAGGAGGCTGCGTCCGCCACGCCCTCGAGCAATGCGACGGCGGCGACGGCCTTCCCGACGGACATTGGCTTCCTGGGCACGACGATTGCGGGCAGCGTGAGTATGCACGCAGCCGCAAGTGGAGTGGCGTCGGCACAGCTGCTGGCCCACACCCACAGGCAACTCACGCTCTCGGCCCCTTCTCGCAGCAGCCTCCCTTCACCGTGCAGCGCGACACGTTGCTCAACAGCTCCACGCCCAACGCCGCGCTCGGGCCGTCGCCCTACGAGCGGCGCTGGCACGCCACGGACGACGCCTCCAACGGCACGGCGTTCAGCATCTGGGAGCACATGGGCAACACGTCGCCCTACGCCTCCTCCAAGCTCTTCCCCGACGCGCAGCGCTTCCAGGATCTGCCGCCCACGTGCGCCGTGAGCGGCGTGCACATTCTCCATCGCCACGGCGCACGCTTCCCTACCAGCTCGACGTCCGGTGAGCGCGCGCGCGCCTGTGTTCTGCAGCATCCTGCGTCTGTGTCAAACTGACGGCTTGGGTGGGCAGAGGGCGCGCCTCTCTTTGGCGCTACGATTCGCAACGCCACCAATCTCACCTCTACTGGTCCCCTGTCCTTTCTCAACACGTGGCAATACCAGCTCGGCGCCGAGCTGCTCGTTCCTGCAGGGCGCAGCCAGCTCTTCGACAGCGGAGTCGCCGCCGCCTTCCGCTACGGCAAGCTGCTCAACGCCTCGCAGGCCAATGGCGCAAAGCCTGTGCTCCGCACCACCTCGCAGAGCCGCATCCTCGACAGCGCGCGCTACTGGTCGCTCGGCGCCTTTGGCTGGAACGCGCCCGAGCTGATCAACCTCGAGGTGCAGATCGAGGGCGACGGCTTCAACACGAGTCTCGCTAGCTACGACACGTGCAACAACTCGAACACGATCGACGTCGCGGGTGGGTCTGCTCGACGAGCCTGGCCTCCGGCTACATGGGAGCTGACCGACGTCGTACAGGCACGTATCTCGAGCCCCAGTGGCTGAGCATCTACCTGAAGAACGCGACTCAGCGCCTGCAGCAGTACACCAGCCTCAACCTGACGGCCGAGCTCGTGTACGGCATGCAGTCTCTCTGTCCCTACGAGACGCAGGCGCTCGGCTTCTCCAACTTCTGCGCGCTGTTCACCGAGGATGAATGGCGCGGCTACGACTACTATCTCTCGCTCCAGTTTGCGGGCTCGTACGGCTTCCTGTCGCCCAGTGGCAAGGCGCAGGGCATCGGCTACGCGCAGGAGTTGCTTGCTCGTCTGACGAGACAGACGGTGCCGCCGCCCGTGACGACGCAGAACACGACGTTCAGCACCAGCGAGCTCTACAGCCCCTTCAACCAGAGCTTCTACGCAGACTTTACACACGACGACATCATCGTCTCGGTGCTGACGGCGCTCAACTACACTCAGGTACGTCTTGCGCGACTACTAGCCTGCACCCCACACTAGCACCGACTGACGCTTGCTTCCTCTCTACAGTTCGCCGACTATCTCGACCCGACGGCGCTCCCATCCGCCTCCAACTTCACCCTCTCTCAAATCACTCCTTTCTCGGCGCAGCTCGCCTTCGAAATCATCGACTGCCAAGCGAACAACGCCACCTCGACGCCCGACGGACCCGCGGCCGAGTCGACGCAGTACCTGCGCACGGTGCTCAACGACGCCGTGGTGCCCATGGACGCCGACCAGGGCTGCACGACGCCGACGCCCAATGCGGCCCTGTGCAAGCTGAGCGACTTCATCGACTACCAGAACCGCACGGCCGTCGCGGCGGCCAACTTCGACAAGGCGTGCTTCGGCGTCAACGGCACCGACTTCTCCATCACTGGCCCCGTGCGCAACGGCACGGTCGGCTAGCGCGAAAGAACCGAGTTGCGTCTCTTCGCGAGCTCGTCTGCAGCAGGCGCGAGAGGCAGGCCGAAGCGCGCGCTCGACGTGCGTTGGGCCCTCGTGGGGCAAGCGTCAATGAGATGTCACTCCGTCTCGTGAATGCGTGACTTTCGAGCTAGAGGAAGCAGGCTCAGAGCTGCGAGCTCAGCCGCAGAACGAAGAGAGGTGCGGCGCGCAGGGGGGAGAGAGACGCGGCAGCGTCACTTGACAGACAAGAGTTCGCACGTGGGGACCCCCCAAAGCTTGCACCCGCCGGCGGTCCATGCGGCCATTGGCACGGCTCGGCAGGCGGCGGCGAGGCGCAGCCGGAACGCACGAGTCGCAGAGCGACGAAGTGCGGGGGAGCGGCAGCTGCCCAGCATGCACTTGAGCCGGCGGGCGGCTCAAGGCGGAGGTATCGCTCCCAGCCGCAGGCCTCTTCGAGAGACTGGAGACGCGAGAGGGGGCAGCACTGCAGCAGTGAGCGGCCGTCGAAGTCAGAAGCCTGCCGCTCTGGAGGTGCGTGAGCGCAGAGCAGAAGCAGCGCGAGCGCTCGGACTGCGGAGTCTCGAGGAGCAAAGGAGCGAGAATGGCTGCACCCTGCGCCGCCGCCTTCGCCCCCCCGCAGCGGGAGCGGGGAGCAGGCCGACTTCGGGGCAGCTCGGACCGTGCCCGGCGCTGGCGCCGCGCGTGTGGCTGCTCCTTCTCCGACTTCGACGCGCATGCCTCGCTGCTCGCCGCACCCCAGCTGCATCCTGGCGCAGAGCTGCGGCAGCGTCTTTGTGTATCTCACAGTCACTGCAGCCCGCTGCGCTGCTGCTGAGCTGCAGCTGTTGCCGCACGACGCTGCTGGCGAACGCACTGCGAGCGGGTGTGGCACTCGAGTGGGGCTGAGGCGCCGGCTGCACGTTGATGCATGCTCCTCGATGGCCTCGGCCGGAGGCGCGCCATGAGGGGAAGCGCCGCGCCCGCCGCCGCCCGAGGCCGGCCGCGCTGTGTGCTTGGCTGCTGGCCTGGAGCCGCTGCTGCGCTGGCGCCACACGCGCGGCGCGCAACCCTTCCTCGCCGCCGCGCGGCCCCGGCGCAGCAAGTCAAGTGCGGCCTCCTTCGTCGCTCCACGCCGCGGCCGCAGCGCTCCTTCTCTCCACACCCCTCTCATCCCCCACCGCGCTGGCCCATCATGCTGGCCCGTCGTTCCACCGTGCTCCTCTCGCGTGCCTCGCTGCGCCTCAGCGCCGCCGCCGCTCCTTCGCTCGCCGCCCGCACGCTCAGCACGGCGTCGCCCGCCGCGGCCGCTTCGGCGCCGCGCCGCGCCCTCGCCCTCGCCACGGCCACGCCGGCGCTGCGGCGCGCCCTGCATGCCTCGGCCGCCGCGCGCGAGACGGTCAAGGTGCCGCAGATGGCAGAGAGCATCACCGAGGGCACGCTCAAGCAGTGGAACAAGAAGGTCGGCGACTTTGTCGAGGCCGACGAGGAGATTGCCGTCATCGAGACGGACAAGGTGCGTGCGGGCGTGCGGCGTGGTGCAGAGCGAGAAGCCGCGGCTGCAACGTGGAGTGCAGCAGACGGCGACCTGGCAGCAGGCGGCGGCTCGTCTGTGCAGATCAGCGCCCTCCAGGCAGCGCAACTGCGTCTGCGTCACGTCGCTCGGCACTGGCTTCTGTACTCACTCTCCCGCGCCACTCTAGATCGACGTCACCGTCAACGCGCCGCAGTCGGGCACCATCACCGAGACGCTCGCCAACGAGGAGGACACTGTGACGGTCGGCCAGGATCTCTTCAAGATGGAGCCTGGCGATGCTCCTGCCGAGGGCTCTTCTTCGGGCGGCGAGAGCAAGAGCGAGAGCAAGGAGGAGAGTAGCAGCAGCAGCGGCAGCAAGGACAACGCCAAGGAGGAGGCACCCAAGAAGTCCGACGCCACGTCGTCAGAAACGAAGGCGCAGGAGCAAAAGGACTCGGGCCGGCAATCGGAGTCGTCGCAGAAGGCGTCGCAGGAGGGCGGTAATCAGGCGCACAAGCGCAACGAGGCGTCTAGCTCCAGCTCCGGCTCTTCGGCGCCGAAGAAGGACAGCAAGCCCAGCTCGAGCGGCAGCAGTGGCGACAAGAAGGGTGCCTCTTCCGGCTCCGTCGACTCTGCGCCTGCGACCAAGGGCTCGCGCGACGAGCGGCGCGTCAAGATGAACCGCATGCGTCTGCGCATTGCCGAGCGCCTGAAGCAGAGCCAGAACACGGCCGCCTCGCTGACGACGTTCAACGAGATTGACATGTCGAACCTGATGGCCTTCCGCGCTCGTCACAAGGACCGCATCCTCAAGGAGCAGGGCGTCAAGCTGGGCTTCATGGGTGCCTTTGCCCGTGCGTCGGCACTGGCACTCAAGGAGATCCCCGCCGCCAACGCCAGCATTGAGGGAGAGGGCCTGGGCGACACCATCGTCTACCGCGACTACGTGGATCTCTCGGTGGCCGTGTCGACGGAGAAGGGCCTCGTCACGCCCGTCGTGCGCAGCGTGGAGCAGCTGAGCATCCTGGACATTGAGCGCGAAATTACCGCGCTTGGCAAGAAGGTGAGCTGGCGCGAGGCGTGTTGGAGCAGGAGCCAGTATGCTTCGCCAGTCTTTGCGCATGGCAGAGGGAGCTGGTTCGGCGGCTCTACGCACGTGGCACACAGCACTGACGATGGCGCCTCCTTCTCCCTCCGTTGCCCCCCGCCACCTCTTCCTTCTCTCTCTCTCTCTCTTCAGGCACGCGACAACAAGCTCACCCTCGAGGACATGGCCGGCGGCACCTTTACCATTTCCAACGGCGGCGTCTTTGGCTCGCTGTTCGGCACGCCCATCCTCAACCTGCCCGGCAGCGCCATTCTCGGCATGCACGCCATCAACAACAAGCCCTGGGTCGTCGACGGCAAGGTCGACATCCGACCCATCATGGTCGTTGGTGCGTAGCCCCCGCACCCCTCTCCACTTCTCTCTTTGCTCAGTGCACTTGCTGACGCCTCTTGATGCCAGCCCTGACGTACGACCACCGTCTGCTGGACGGCCGCGAGGCCGTCACGTTCCTCGTGCGCCTGAAGCAGGTGAGTCCACTGCACCATCTTGTGTATCAGGAGGCCAAGTTGCTGATCCCCTCTCTCTCCCTCGCTCCAGTACCTCGAGGACCCAGCCATGATGGCTCTCTAAGCCTCTTTCGCGCGGGCGCATACACGAGTGTGCTGCCTCTGCAGTGCGAGGGGGCGAGAGGGGGGGAGAAGGGCAGAAGCGATGGAGAGGCGGCGCCCGACTGGCAGGGGGCCTTTGTTTCGCGGCCATCGTCTCGAGATGGGGAGCGGTCACAATCTGAAACACGTACACACGAGACCAGTTCGGCCTCGCTCCAAGCTGCCTGCTCCTTGCCGTGTCTCTCCACAAGCCGCTCTGCTCTTGCCCTTGGCTCCCTCCCTCTCTCTCTCTCACCTCTCCCTCACTCACTGCCACGCCGCGCCGACAAGGCTTTGGTCTGGAACGAGGCCACGTCGCGGGCTTGGGCATTTCGAGTGCAGAGAGGTGGATGGGGGGAGCTGTGAACAGTCGAGGGGGGGGTGTGTGTGTCCAAGAGGTGGAGGGAGACGAGACGCAGGGAGTGTGTGGAGCGAAGCACCGATGGGTGCGCGCGCTCGAGAGACGAGAAAGATTGAGAGGAAGGAGCGAGGACCGAGTCGCGCATACGTTCGAGAGGACGTCGGGACAGTCTGATATCAAGAGAGGAGGGGACGACAGAGACAAGGCGGCCGGTGCGCGCGCGACACATCACGGCTGCGTGACGAGCTGCAGGCGAGAGCGCTCCATTGCGGCTGCTTCCACGCTCAGTGACCGTTGTGGCCGATCGAGTCGTGTGCCGTCAGCGCCTCGTCCGCGCGGTCAAGGTCGCGCGCCGAGAGAGTCTTTGAGCCGAGGAGGCCGGGCGTCGAGACTCCGCTCGTCGAGCCCACGCTGGCGCCGCGGTTGCGGCTCTTCATGACGAGGGGGAAGCGGAACGCCTCGTCCTCGTCGTCCTCCGTCTGGTTGAGCGCCTTCCAGAAGGCACTGCCCTTGTAGTCGCTCGTCGAGAGCGCCTGCATGTCCTGCAGCACCAAGCAAGGAGGCTCAGCGCATCTCCCAGACAACAGCTGCCCACTGCCGCGGCCGCCAGCTGGGCCTGATGCACTCACCTCGCTCAGCGTGGCGTAGTCGCCCGGCGTCGTCGCGCCACGGAAGCGCGGCGAGGCGGGCATGGAGAGCGGCGGCGGCACCTTGTCGTTGCCCGGGTCAAAGTAGTCCATGTCATCCTCCTCGTTGAACGAGTCCGGGTAGGCACGACGCAGCGCCAGCTGACGCGCCTTTGCATACTCGAGGCCGAGCTTCTTCCAGTCGAGCACTGCCGGCATGAACAGGCGGTCAGCAGAGAGCACAGCAAGCACTGCGGAGCGCGCGTGGTGGTCTCACAGTCGGACAGCTGGGAGCAGGCAAGACGAGTCAGTATGACGTGGGTGGCGCTTCTCCAAAGGCCCGACTCACGCGCTCCGTGCGGTTGCGCTGGTTGATGCGCTGCCGTCTCGTCTTCATGCAGTAGTCGACCATCTGGTCCGTCAGCTGGTTGACGCTGTCCTCGACGCTCTTCATGCGCCGGTCGACAATGTAGATGCCGTAGTCCTCGCTGTTCTCAATCGTGTCCTCCATGAAGCAGCCGAAGCCCGACAGGTTCGTCGTGATGCTCGGAATGCCCATGACGGTGCACTCTGCCGGCGTCTGCAGGACGCGAAGATCAGAAGTCAGTCGCTGCTGAGCCGCACTGCACCGTCCTCGCGCTGCCACTCACGTAGCCCCACGGCTCGTAGTACGAAGGAAAGACGCCCATGTGGCAGCCGCGGACGAACTCCTCGTAGTCGAGGCCGAGAATGGGGTTGTTTGCATTGAGAAACTCGGGGTGGAAGATGATCTTGACGCGGTCCGAGGGGCGGTTGAAGAGCTGCACGCGGCGGATCTGGTTCAGGATCGGGTCGTTTGCGTCGTCGGCCATGTTGTGCGTCGTGACGGGCGGCAGACTGTTGCGCTTCAGAGCAAAGACGCGCCGCTTCAGCAGGATGCGGTCCTGCTCGGAGAGCAGCGTGGCGGGATCGATGATCTCCTGGTTGCCCTCGCTGTGGGCGCGCGCACAGCGCCACGTCAGCCTCGCGCGCATCGCTCATCTCGCCGCGCGGCGCGCTCGCGCACTCACCCCTGGTAGCGCGCGGTACGCTCAAACAGGCGCTCTCCGATGCGCTTCTGAATGTCGTTGACCGTCTCGCGCAGCTGCTTCGTCACAGCCTGGCCCTTGAGCGCCTCGATTGTGTAGCTATTCGTGGCCGCGGGCATGATGATGAAGGCCACGACGGTCATCTTGCTGCCCATCTTCTGCAGCCGGTGGTTCAGCCGCGCAAGCGACTCGATGAACATGTCGACACCCTTGTTGCGGTACTCGTAGCGACCCGCAGTGAAGAAGTACTGCGCGCGCGCAAAAGGAGGAGCGTCAGTCAAGGCAGCCAAGTACGGGGGCAGAAGTCGGTCGCAGGCGCAGCGAGGAGAGCAGCGTGTGCGCAGAGGAACTAGGGTCGCCGGGACAGGGCAGGCCAGACACGACGCCTCCGAGACCTGCGCCGACAGCCCATGCCCAACGCGGCCCATGCCCAACGCGTAGCGCCCACTGCCACCATGGCCCTCTCCCTCTCGCGTTCATCGCGCGCGCGACTCACCAGCGTGTTGTCGAGGTCAAAGTCGTAGTGCCCGTAGAAGTGGCCCTTGATGAACTCGTTGATCTTGTTCTTGCTGACGGCGTGCAGGTTCTGGAACTCGTGCATGGCGCTGAACTTGACGACGTTGAGGCCGTTGGGCAGCACGCCGTCGGGCTTGCGCTTGAGCAAGTGCTCGCTCTCGTACGCCGTAATGTGGCTGACGGTCGTGAAGACATCTGCGCAGTGCGCGGCGCTGCGCTCAATGCAGTAACGGTGGTAGATGCCGCGCTTGCCCGCCTCGTGGTCGACATCAAAGTACTGCAGGTTGTTGTAGAAGTCCACCGAGCCGGCACACAGGTAGCGGCCCAGCAGCGTGGCGTGCGTCGTGAAGATCGTCGTCACGTCGATGCGGCGCTTGCGGCAGAGCGGGATGGCCAGACCGGCTTGCCACTCGTGGAAGTGGGCAATGATGGCCTTCTTGCGCTCTTGAATCGCGAACTGCACGAGAGACAGAGAGAGGCAGAGTCAGTGCTGCTGTTTCGGCGCTTTCTTCCCTTCGTTGCCCTCGCGCCGCGCCCGCGTCGCACTCACCTCGCCAAGGAACCAGGCGACGAGGTAGCCAAAGACGAGCGTCTCGTTGGTCTCGTGGTCGTTCTGCGGCGTCGGGATGCCGGCCGCGTTCCAGAGGTCGCCCTTCCACTCATCGAGGCGATGATACATGCTGCCCGTGTCGAAGAGCAGCACGCGCGGCGCGCGCTCGATGAGCCAGCGCCCGTAGAGGAACTTGACGCCGCGCTCGCGCATGCTGTTCAGCGTCGAGCGCAGCGCCGGATCCTCGGGCTCGACAGACTCGACTTCCATCGGCGCCGTCTTGTAGGACAGCGGACCGATGAGCGTGTAGCGATCGCCATACTCTTGTGCGGTCACGGGAGCCTTGGTCTTGATGACCGTGTAGATGCCGCCGACTGGGGCACAAGGGTCAGCAGACGAAGCGGCACGCGCGGCCAAGCGAGACATGTGCGCCATGAGCCACGCCGGCGGCGAGTCGAGCCAGCCCGGGCCTCTGCCTCTGCCTCTGCCTCTGCCTCTGTCACCCTCCTGGCGCGCGCCCCGTCGGTGCACTCACCCTTGTTGGCGACCTCCCAGGCGACCTCGAAGAGCAGCGGGTTGCGCACATCGCGCTTCTCTGCGACGTCGGACATGGCTGGGCTGTGCGTCAAGGGAGCGCGACGCTGAGAAAGCCGGCGCGAGCGCAGGAGTGGAGGTGTGGATGGGGCAGCTCGCGTGCGAAGAAGAGGCGGGACGACGGATGTGTGTGTGTGTGTGTGTGTGTGCGCAGAGCGGATGCAGCGTAGGTGCAGGAGGTGGTGGCGCTGGAGGAAGCAGCGAGCGCACGGCCGGGGATGGAGTGGGTGTGGAGAGGCAGGGCGAAGAGGCGTGTGGGGAAGACTCGCCGAGGCAGCAGGTGCGAGGCAGGAGAGGCGCCGATGCCCAATGTGCGTGCGCGCGGCCGACCGGGCGCAGCGCAGGCGCAGGCGCAGAGACTGCCGGCCGGCCGCGAAGACAGCAGCAGCCACGGCGAGCGCACGGCGCCCCACGCTGCCGCGCGCAGCCGCAGGCACGCCGCCCGCGGCCACGGCGTCGCACCGCGCAGGCGCCACCCCAGCATCCCTTCCTCTTCGCTCTGCAGCCGGCGCTCGCATGCTCACGGCGCCTGCTTCCACCACAGCTGCTGTGCATCCAGCACCCTCCAGCTTGCAGGCATCAGCATGTGCTGCCGCTGCGGCAGCGGCTGCTGCCAGCGCCCAGCGACGCAGCGACGGTGCAGGTGGCGGCTCGGCCTTCGCGAGCGCGGCGCCTGCCCTGTGCGCAGGCACGGCGGTGACGCACGCCGCGGCGGTGCTCCCTGTGGGCACTGCGCCAGTCTAGTGTCCGCTCTCCAGGAAGAAACCGCAACGTCGAGCGCACGGCCAGCCTCCAGGTGCAGCTCAGGTGCAGAGCCGCGCAGAGCGTGCGACGGCCTCGCATGGATGATGGCGCAGGCAGCCGCTCACAGTCAGCGAACCCCGGCACCGAGACGGCGCCGCGGCTCAGCTCTCTGGTCCTGCAGCTGACGGCGCCGGCCCTCTGACCCCTCTCTCGGCGCCGAAACAGCGCGACGAGAGCTTCCATTCCTGGGGTAGAGCGTGAGCGCGCACTGTATGCGAGATGAGTGCGCCCGTCGACAGGGGTGCGCTCCTGATCTCGTGTTGTTGGGCGACATGCCAGGCACCGCCAGCGAGACAAGCGTCCCCATGAGGAGCGCGAGGTACCGCTACGCCGCGCTGCTTGGCGTCGCGGCCGCAGCTGCTGGGCGCTGCAGCCGACTCGCCTCGTCCCCAGGGACCTTTCTGCGTCTGCCTCCGGTTCGGACAGCGTCCTGCGCCTCTCTCGCAGTCGGTCGTGTGAGCGAGCACCATGCAGCTGATGCTGGTCGTTGCTGCGGCTTGCCTGCTGCTGTGCTTGCAGGTGCAGCGCCAGCCGCAGAGATTCTCCGCCGCTGCGGCGCCCGCCGGCGCGAGCTCGGCGAGACTCGACTCGGCCGCTCGGTGCTGCGCTGCAAGCTGCTCCATGGGGGGCATCGCGCATGCTTTGCGCTGCCCCCGCGGGTCGTTCGACGGAGTCTGCATACGCACGCCGGGCGGCGGTGCCGGCAGCCGGTGCCTGGTGGGGCCGAGAGCCCTGAGCATGACAGCAGCAGCGGCGCGGCACAGGCGAGCGCTGTGCTTGCAGCTCGACCTCTGGCAAGGCCGACGCTGAGGCTGGCCTCTGCAAGGCGCTCGGATCACGAGGCTGAGCCTGCGTCAGGCGACGCACTCTCGGCAAACTCGAGACGCTGGCGAGAGAGCTCTCCGACGAGACAAGGCGAAAGTCAACAGCCCAAGCCACCAGTGGGGTGATGCGCACGCGCAGCCATCAGCAGCACGCACGAGTGCAGACACGACTCTTTGGTATTGCGTGAGTGCAAGGAAAGTAAACCAGGCGAGAGGGCGGGGGGTCAGAGATGCAGTTAAGATGCGCGAGGAAAGACGTGGCGTCCGGGAGAGCGAGGGTGAGGGAGGGATCGGGCGGGGGATCCATGAGAGAGACTGGCTGAGAAAAGGGGTCCGGGGGAGAGGGAATGCGGAATGAGGTTTGCCTTCCTAAACGGAGAATGGAGATGAGAGAAAGGTTGTCCATGTGTGTGTGTGACGCGAGAAAGACGAAGCGAGAGAGAGCGGTGACAGTGGCAGGCCACGCAGCACCGCGCTACTTGCCCGCGATGAAGCGACGCATCCGATCGATCGGCTTGCGCTTCGGCTTCGTCGGCGACGCCTGCAGCTTGGTGGGCGGTTCCATCGTCGAAGCAGCGTGACTGACACTGCTGCTCGAAGCCGAGATGGGCGGCAGGCTGCCCAGTGCAGCGGCATCGAGTTCGGCGTCCGTGCCGCCATGCTGCAATGCGCCGTTGCTCTTCGGCAGCGGCACACCTCCGCCTCCTCCTCCAACGGCAGAGGCACTGCTCGTAGCTACCGTCGACGAGGAAGCTGCAGTGGCGGGCGTTGAGGCGAGTGAGCCAAGTGAGGAGACTGCACTGTCGCTCGATGCCGTGCGTGCTCGATCGTCTGCCTCGACGCTCGACGCCGCAATGCCAGGCCGTACGGCGCGCGAAGAGGCCATCGAGGAGCAAGGCACGAGTGGAGTGCTAGGCACTGAAGAGATGACCTCGCAGAGTGGAGCTGCCCAATTGCGCGTGGCCGACGCAAGCGCATCCTCGAGGGTGTGCTGCACCATCAGACGAGCTGCGACTGCATCTGGGGCGGCTCCAGGAAGAGGAGGCAGGAAGATGGCGGGCAGTCGCAGGCGCTCGGCTGCCAGGATCGTAAGCACGGCCGGGAAGCCTCCGCGGTGCAGACGCGAGGCCTCCTCGAGCGCCACAGCGGCTTCGTCGGGCGGCTCTTCGGTGGCACAGAGCTCTAGTGCGGAATGCACCGCGTCGAGTTGCTCTAGGCGCTTGCCCCACAGCACCGAGTTCTCGCATGCGGTAGCTGCGTATGGCTGTAGCTCTGCGTAGAGGAGGACAGAGCGTGAGCAAGCAAAGTCAAGCCTTGTCGCCATCAGTGATGCCACTCACCGGGAACGATGCGCGCCAGTGTATCGAGCAATGGCGTGACGAAGAAACGTACGAAAGCGACTTGCCCTCGAGCTAATGATCGTTCCTCGTGCAGTTCGCCAGCCGCGACGAGAGCGTCTACGCTGAGTTCCGCCGAGTCTGCTGCCGCGCCTCCACCGCCGCCGATCTGCGCGACCATCTGCGCAGCGCTGGTTCTGCGCAAGCCCTCTTCGTCGCCCGTCGTGGCGTTTGGCAAGGGCGCCGTACCAGCGTGAGTCTTGTGGGGCCCATGCTTGTGCTTGCAGGCAACTGCGCCACCTCCCACCGTCGCAGGCAATCCGCACTCTGCCTCGAGCGCACTCTGTCGCTCCCACTCTCTCCGCAAAGCCAAGCTCCATCTCCGACCAATGCTGCGCACTCGCACTGGGTTGCTGACGTCTGCGCACTTGAGTAGCGCCGAGCAGAGCAGCGTGCGTTCCTCTCGCGGCCGTGCTCGAATGAGGGCAGCGCGCTCAGCAGGCGTGGAGGGCGCACCATCGTCGCCGTAGAGGCGCCGCTCGAACGCTTCTAGCTCCTCGACGAAGCGCGCATGGATGGCCATGTCGGTGGCGAGCACGCACGTTCGAATGAGACTGCCAAGCTCGGAACGGCTGCCCGAGGCAGCCCAGGTCAGTTGACTGAGGCCGCAGCGCTCCAGCAGGCCCTCGAGCAGCAGCACGTGGTAACTCTCCAACGGACTGCCTTCGGGCGCACGTGCTGCCGGCGACGCCGCCGCCGGAGAGCTGGCACTTGAGACGCTTGCGTCGTGGTGAGGCGCAGCGCAGCGAAAGGCAGTGGCGATAGGCGCCTCTGCGTTGCCGAGATAGGCGTTTGAAAGACCCGGATGACCTGCGTCGTGTCCGATGGCTGCAAAGAGCAAGGCGAGGGCATCGAGAGGCGCGACAGGCGAATGCCGCGCATCCCACTCGCTGTGCCCCGTCGCGACGAGCTTGGGCAGCGCGCCCAGGTCGGCCAGCAGCACGTAGAGTGCCTGAAGCACATCGGTCGCGTGGTGGACGTTGTGGTAGGCGTTTGAGGAGTGGTACAGCTCTGCAATGCCGTCGACTAGCCGGCGCACAGCCTCGGGCGCAATGTCGAGGAACGCCGCCATCGTCGTCATCTCCTCGCCCTTGCTGCCTGGTGGCTCATCAGGCGCCAGCAGAGAACGAGGCAAAGGCGCGTTCAGTGCCGTGTCGAAGAGCATGACGCAGGCGGTGCGCAGCTCCTCTTCGTTGAGATCCAAACTGCAGAAGTCCCAGCTTGCGAGCTGTGTGACCAGGCGCGCACGATTGGCGCTTGCACGCACAGAACGCCGCGGGTAGAGCGTGCTGGTGGCAGCGAACGTCTGCGGCGGCGCTCCCTGACCGGAAGCAGAGCGCGAGACGGGCGGCGACGGCACCACACGAGGAAGCACGACTGGTAGCTCACTGTGTCGCCGAGGCGTGGCAGTGGCACATGTGCAAGGTGGTGCCTCGCTTGCTCGTCGAGGCGGCCCGGAGAGCGGGTTGAGCGCACCACGCTTGGGCGCATGCAGCAGTGTCGTGTAGTGTGCCACGACGGGGGTGGCGCTTGTTGCATGCGCCGGATTCTCGTGCGGCATCCACTGCGGCGCCAAGAGAGCAGGCGCTGCGGCAGCCGCGCCTTGCGGCTCTGCTCCCGGAAAGGCGTACGATGCAAAGCTGGCGATGTCCTTGGGCCCCGCCGAGCTTGCGAGCGGCGGCGGCAATGGATGCTCGTGCGAGGAAGGCGAGGGTCCCATGCTCGTTGCGGCGAGGTCAGACGCTATCCGAGGAGCGTCGCGCCGTCGTCTGCCCCAGCTACTGCTCGAGGCACCGGCTCCAGAGCCACTGGACGAAGGCCGTGATGGCGGCCGAGAGCGCGGCAGGATGCTCCAGCGACTCGCCTTGAGCGTGCCAGCCGAGCCACGACGCTGCTCCAGCATCTCCTGGGTCGGCTCGGCAGAGAGCTCCAACGCCGCACCGCTGCTGCGCCGCCGTGCTGCATCCGGACGCGGTGCAGTGCCGGCAGCGACAAGATGCGAGGGCGCAGAAGGTGCAGCCAGCATCTCTCGGCTACTGCTCGGCGGCAAAGGTACCGCGGACTCTGCACCCGCACCGCTGCCGCTCGCGCCGCTGCGCTTGGAGCCGCTGCGCAGATCGAGCCAGCTGGAGCGAGCACGCACCTGCAGCGCTCTGTACGTCGTCTGCAGTTTGCCCATCGAGGGTGCCGGCGAGGTGCCTTCTGCATGCGCGGCCTGGCGACTGCTGCTGCTGCTCGATCCGCCACTGCCACTGCCGCTCGCCGTACTGGCGCTGAGCGCGCGAGGCTTGGCCAGCAGGATGGGCGACGCAGTGGGCGAGACGGGCTGCGGCGACGAGCGCGCCGGCTGCATCGTCGGCGCGCTGAGCGTGTGCGGCGAAGCCATGCCGCGTGCGTGACGAGCCCACTACGGGGTGAAGGAGAAGAGAAAGAGAGGCGCCGGAAGGATGCTATCGCAGCGATGCTGGATGCATGGGATGCGCTTGTCGCGGGCGGCGAGGCGAAGTGAGGCACACGCGTGCGCGTGCGAGAGAGAGAGGCGGCAGGCGCCGCGCTGGCTACGCGAGATGGAGCGTGTGCAGAGAGATGCTGGAGATGACGGGCGGCGGCGAGGATGCAGGCGGCAGCAACGGAGCAGAGAACGCAGATGGGTGGATGCGGCGAGCGAGAGCGAGGCGGGTGCGCGTCTAGAGGCGCGCGCGCGTCGGGGCGAGAGCGAGGCTGGGCGCACCACACGCGGCGAGAGCGAGGTGGATGCGGGCGCGGCTGGGAGCGACGAGACACGGCGTGGCGTGTGTGCAGGTGTGTGAGTGTGAGAGGACGAGACGTGTGCGGGTTGCGAGAAGGCGCGAAGGAGGATGCGAGAGCAGAGGAGAGGCCAGGGGCCGCACGCGAGGTGAGAGAGGCCGAGGCTGAGGGTGAGGCGCGGAGGCGCGTCGTGCGAGGAGCGCGGCCGGCCGATGCTGCGCTGGATGGCGGCCTGGCGGGAGGCGCACGCCCAGCAGCGACACGCGAAAGGGAAGCGCACCTCTCGCACGCCTAGCGCCTGCACGCCGCCGCGTCGGGCTCCGCGCCGCCGCACCGTTGGACGGCCAGCGTGCAGCGCAGCGCATGTGCCAGATGTTGCCCTGCATCCACGGCGCTGCCAGCGCCACAGCGGAGGCGCGAAGGGCGCGTGGCATGCGCCTGCCGGACGCGGCGGCGGAGCGCGGCGGCGCGGCGGGTGCAGCAGCAGCACGCGCGCGTGAGGTGCCGCAGCGCCGCCGCCGCACTCGGGCAACTCCCGCGCGAGGCGCGAGGCGTGAGGCACGGCGCCTGCGCCTGTCGTGGAGAGAGATGCAGCTCGACTTCTCGGGCACGAGAGCAGCAGCAGTTACTCCTGAGCGAGGCGCACATCTCCCCTCCTCCCTCTCGCGCCCCTCGCGAGTAAGAGTTGGACAGACGAGCCGCAGCGGACATGCGCATGGCAGCTGCCGCTCTACGTCTGCGATGCTGTGCTTCCACACCCCTGCATGCTGAGGCTGAGTGCTCCACGCTGGGCCGTTTTGGGCCTCCGCGCCGCTGCACGATGCATCCATCTGCAGCAGGGACAGGCGAGGCTTGGGTGTTGCGCTGGCCGCCAGGGTGCAGCAGCGACTGCGAGGCCGCATCTCCCCGCGCCTCTCTCTCTCGCTCGGCTGCAGGCGCACTCGCATCTTGAGCTCCGCCTGCGGTGCACACCCGAGCATGAAGGATGCGCTTCTGCATGCTGTGTGGGTGTGGCGCTCGGCGCGACGGACAGCCCATCAAGACGGCATGGCGTGGGGGGTGCGAGGCAAGCCGCTAAGAGCATACGTCGGGCGCTCGAACGCATCCGAGTTGGCGCGCTCGCTTGGCCCTCCGCCCTCCGCCTCGGCCTCGGGCGAAGGCATGAACAGGGCGTGCCAAGCCACATGTTGATGCTGGGGCATGCTGGGGCTTGAAGAACGGTGCCACGCGGCACAGCGCGCAGACTGCGAAGAGGGCTGAGGCCCACGACGTGGCTAGGCCGTCGCGTGTGCTCGTCCTCCACGCAGCCGTCCCAGCTTGCTTCCACAGCGTCGACGCCGTGGCTTGACCACAAATTCCCGGCGTCCATGCGAGCCACAAACCCAGTTCGAGCGCAATGGCAGCTCGGACACCCGGGACACGCCACGCCTGACCCGAGGCGCCGATCATTGCGTCGGAGGAGCGTCCGACGCGTGGCGTCGGCCCGGGCGCGGGGGGCGCGGCTTGGCCGTGGACCCCCGATCGTGGCGCTGTGGACCGAGCAACCTCTAGAACGAGTCTGCTCGCCGCCGACTGATACTGCAGCGCGCAGTCGACTTGCCCTCTCGAGAGCCTGCAAGACACTCGCAATTTCGGCAAAAACGGCGGATGAACACCGTGCTTGCTCGAGCGGTACGCCATGTGGCGCAGCGGGCGGCGGGAGGGGGGCGGGCAGGCGTCACCGTCGCTGGGAGCACCCTCGGCCGAGCCGTGGCAGGCCGCTCATCAGCAGAAGAGAAGGTTTGGATGGGTATGCGACGACGGAGGAGCCCTCGAGCCGGGCTCATCAAGCCATCGCGTCGTTGTATATCCTGAACGTGATCGCTCGATGGCGAGACCTCTCGGCACGAGCAAGCGCGACAACCAGACTGAAGCGACCCACGCTTGGCTGCAAAGCAGGTGCGGATTTCAGGCCCGGGACTGCTGCCGTCTCTGTCGAGCTTGAGTAGCTCTCCCCATTCTGGTCCCATCTCTCTTCAGTCGAGCGGACAGAAGGCCACCAAAAAGCGATGCGACGTCTGTCCTTAGCTCGCCGTATGAGCCTCAGGCAAAGCCGGTAAGTGCCCTTGACCTCCTTTGGCTTGGCATTTGGCAAATCACACACACACCTGCGCGGCGAGTAATGAGAATATGGCGACGACTCCTTGCAGTCGCTCACCGGCCCCTCCCCCTCCCTCCGTGGTGGAGATGCGGAATTGAGGCGAGTCTGAGCTTGCTCTGCGCTCCCACGCGATGGGCAGCTTCGTGGACGACGAGGGATCGAGGCGAGTCTATTCTTTCTGCAGCTGCTCATTCTGCGAAGAGACTGGACGGCGAATTTCTCGCAGAGACAAACAAACGGCATCCGGCACACGCGAGAGCAGCGCCAGTCTGCGTCGGAGCACAGCAGCGCAAGCGCAAGCGCAGCGCGCCGGGGGGGGGGGGCGGGACTGCGGCCGGCGACGCGCAGTAAGAGTCTGCTGCCCTCGCCACTGCTGCTGCTGCAGGGAAGAGAGCAAGCACATCAAGATAGGAGGAGCGCATCGGACCCCCCCCCCCCCCCCCCGCGTTGCAGCTCGCTCGTGCGACGTGCCCGGGGGCGCAGGCGACCCTGAGCGCTGCTCTGCTCACCGTCCGCGGAGCGTGGAGAGGAAGCACAGCGCGCCGCCGCAGCGCTCCACACACTCACACAGACGCAGCGCCGAGGCGCCCCAGCATCACACGAGAGCAGCGGCTGTGCCGCCAGAGCCGTCCTGCCTCTCACCGCTGCGAGTTCAGGGGATGACGTGGCATCGCGGCCCTCGCCCAGCGCTGTCCGAGCCGGCTCCGGCGGCGGTGCACGCTGCTGCGGCGAGCCGCCGGACGCATGGGCTGCCCGAGGGGCGCCGGCCGCGCGGCCGAGCTGCTGCTGGCGTCGACGGGCCAAAATCGAAAAGCAGACGCGCCCGAGGATCTGCTAATGCCCAATAGCGCCGTCGTGCGTGCAGTATTGTATTGGCTTGAACCCTGAACGCTTGCACGGCCGAGCGCGCTCACGCCACGCCACGCTAGCAGGAGACGTCCGTCGCCAGACGCCGGCCGAGGTGGCACGCGAGAGAGGCAGACGCAGCGCTGCAGTCGCAGTGGCAGACAGCGGCGTTCGGCGCAGCAGCCGCAAGAGCGCATGATGGGCCAGGGCCGCGAGGGTTCCGACGAGCTGCCTTGGTGGTGCCACCGCCTCGGCGAGCTGAAGCGCAGGCGGAGCCGAGCGCGCCGCGGCGGCGCCTCAGCTCCGCACACCGCGCGCGACGCTGTCCATGGAGCACGAGCGCCTGTCGCGCAGCAGCAGGAGCGTGTCCTTGAGGAAGAGCACGGCGAAAGCATTGCTGCGCTGCAGCAGCGTCGGCTGCGAGACGGCGCAGTCAGAGTTGAGTCTTAGTGCGCGAGAGGCTGACGGCGGTGCCGATGCTCGCTCGGCCGGCGGTGCGCTGCTGACGTCGCCCACCGCGCCGCCGCGCCGCGCGGGCCGTCGTCGCTTGCGGCCGCCGCGCGCGCTTTGCCCCCGTCGCTGCTCTGCTGCGCGTCGCCCGCCTCGCCTCTTCGCTCCCGGCCTCTTCACCCCTGTCACCGAGTCTCGAACCCTCACGTCCGCCTCGCTCCCTCGCCCTGCGCTGCGCATCACCACAGTCACACTAGACTCGTGCGCGTCCTCGGCATCTTCGGTCTGTTGCTGCTGCATTCTCCGTCACCTGTCACTCTCGAACCTCTTCCCGCACCTCTCCCTCACCTCACTCCGTCACGTCCGATCCTCTCTTCACCTCGCATCAACACACACACACACACACTCCACCTCATCCGCATCCCACCTCACCGTCGGACTAATCTCGAGCGCTCCCACGCCGCTCGCACGTCATCTCCTCTTCGCCGCCTTCTTGGCCCTCAAGTCACGCGTCTTCTTGCGGCACGTCTCGCGCACCTCGGTCCGCAGCTGCACCCCCAAAAAAGAGTCATTCTTCTGCACTTCACCTTGTCGGCACCGCGTCGCCTGCACACATCACCACGCATTCACGTGGCGCCACCGCAGACAGTGCTGCTCTGTCATCATTCAACGCCGTCGACCCTTCCGTCGCGGCCGTCTCTCGACCGCACCTCGTCCTCTAGCGCGCTCGTCAACGTCTTCTTGACTTGACGCAGTGCTGCTCGCGCCCTCCCTCCACCATGTCGCAGCCGTCACCGCAGCCGCGCGGCCAGCCGTCGCCGCAGGCACGGCACGCGCCACCGGCCCGCCAGCTCTCGGACCCGTCGCTCGCCGGCGCTGCCGACGGTCTGGCCAGCTCGCCGTTCCACTTCAACACGTCCGACAGCCTCTCGCCACACCGCTCCAGTCTGGCGTCTAGCTTTGCTCAGCAGCAGCAGCTTTCGCCATCGGCCGCTGGTAGTGGTGGTGCGCCCCTGGCCGGCTCTTACGCTGGCGGACGCTCGCCGCATGACACGCATGCGTCGCTGCGCCGCAGCTCGCTCTCGCCCGCGCCGGCAGGCCAGCGTCAGCAGCAGCAGTCGGGTGGCGCATCGGCTCTCTCGCCGAGCCAGCAGGCGTTTGGCAGCAGCGTCGGTGCACATGGCCACTCGCCGCACAGCACCAACAGTTCCTTTGATTCTGCGCCCCGCTCTCACTCGCCTGCAGGTGGCGGTGCTGCACACTCGCCGCGCTCCTACACGCCTTCGTCGCTCAGCGCCGGCTATGCTGCCAGCAGTGGTGCTCAGGCTGGCGGGGCCCAGAGTGGCCCGCCGCCGGCTTCGCCGCTCGGCACGTTCGGCTCGCGCGGTGCAGCCACGGCTGGCGGCGGCAGCAACAGCGACCACAGCAGGCACAGCAGTGGCTATGGCTCGTCGCTCGGCATTGGTGGCGGCGGTGGCACTGCTGCAACGACGACCGCGTCGTACGGCGCAGGCAGCGCCATGGGCGCCAGCGCTCTCGGCAGCCACTCGTACACGGCCCAGCAGCAGGGCTTCGGCGGCAGCAGCGCGCCACCGCCAGCAGACGACAGCGTCGAGGCTGCCATCGCAGCGGCGACGAAGGGCGGCCAGCCGCTGACGCCGGCGGCCATTAGTGCGGCAGCTGCTGCCATTGCTGCGTCGGAGCAGCAGCGTCGGCCCTCGCTGCGCCAGTCGCTCTCGGACCACAGTCAGTACAGCAACGGTGGCGCTGCGGCGTACGGCAACGAGTACGGCGAGGTCATCGGCGTCTCGAGCGCAGGCAGTGGCCCACTTTCGGCGTCGGATCCACGTACGCAGCTCTTCATCTCGAACCTGCCGTACCGCGTGCGCTGGCAAGACCTCAAGGATCTCTTCCGCAAGGCCGGTACCGTGCTGCGCGCCGACGTGGCACTGACGCCTGACAACCGTTCGCGCGGACACGGGACCGTGCTGCTGGCGTCGGAGGAAGATGCGCATCGAGCCGTCGACATGTTCCGCGGCTTCAGCTGGCAGGGCCGCATTCTCGAGGTGCGCATCGATCGCTCGGGCACAATCCTGCTGCCGTCGCCGCCGGCGGAGGGCGTGCCGGGAGCGCAGAGCTACATGAGCGCCTCGAGTCCCAACATGTCTGCGCCGAACAGCGCCTCGGCTGCACTGCCGCCTTCGTTCAAGCCCAATATGGCTACCGCGCCGCCGCCGGGCAGTGGCGTTCTGCCTTCGCCTTCCTCGCTGCATCTCTCGGGCAGCTCCAGCCCGCATGACTTTGCTGCAACTCAGTCGACGACGCAGCAGAATCTGGCGCACATCGCTGCGCTGCATGCTCAGCAGGCTCAACAGGCGCAGCAGCAGCTCTACCAGCAGCAGCAACAGCAGCACCAGCAGGCGCAGCAACAAGTGCAACATCAGCATCAGCAGCAACACCAGCCGCAGCCGACTCATGCTCCTTCGCTGTACGCGCCTCAAGGCGGCTCCAACCCGTACGGCAGCAGCGCGCTGCATCCCACGGGCGTCAGTCCGGCGCTCTACCCCTTCATGGGCAATGCCAACGGGCGCTCCGCGTCGCTCTCGAGTGCTTCGGGCGCCTCTTCTGGGCCCGGTGCCTGGTCGAGCAGTGGAGGAGGCTACGGGCGCAACAGCTTCAGTGGCGCAGCGAACCAGGCGCCCGGGTACCACTCGCAGCAGCATCTGCATCACACTGCGCACGCGCCTCCGCCGAACCTCAATGCAGGCGCAGGCCGGCCGTCTGCCTATCTTGGCCCGCCGCTGCCGCCGGGAAGCACGACGCTGCCGCCGCCCAACTCGTACTACGGGCGCGTGCTCTTCGTCGGCAACCTGCCGTTCCATTGCCAGTGGCAGGATCTCAAGGATCTCTTCCGCGCAGCCGGCAACATCCAGCGCGCCGATGTCGCTCTCAGCCCCGAGGGCCGCAGTCGTGGATTCGGCACGGTCCTCTTCGCGAGCGCAGAGGACGCGCAGAACGCCGTGCGCATCTACCACGGGTGCGTGTAGAGAGTGGCGTGCTCGAGAGGAGACGCACAGGATCTGACAGTCTCGCGCCCCCCTTTTGCAGATACGAGTACAGCGGCCGCACGCTCAAGGTGCACTTCGACCGCTTCGCCCAGATGACTGCGCCGCCTGCTGGCCAGCTGCCTGGCACGCCCTCGCAGTACACGGGAGCGTTCAGCGCCGCCAACCCTCCGAGTGCTCCCGTGGCGCAGAGCCAGTCGATGAACCCAGCTTCGCAGCTGGCCGCACAGGCCGCACGTGCGCCACAGCTCACGCAGCATCATGGTGGCTACGGTGGCATGCACGGCGGCGGCCTGTCGCAGCACCGCTATCCGCAGCAGCAACAGCAGCAGCAGTACGGAAGCGCCTCGTATCTGGCGCAGCAGCACTCGATGCAGCATGTTCCTGCGCGCTCGCAAAACCCGACGGTTGGAGGCTATGGCATGCCGAGTGCTCGCTCCAGCCTCGGCGGCGGCGCAGTGGGCAGCGGTGGCTACGCGACGAACCCGGGCGCCAGTGGCTACACGAACCCTTCGGCGTCCGCGTACGGCGGAGCTTCGGATGCATACAGCAGCTTCTCTGCGTTTGGCTCCTCGACGACTTCGCAGCAGACGTCGCTCGGCAGTGCCGCCTCTGCTCGCCCTGGACACATTGCGCTTCCGCCCGCCTCGTTCCCTTCCATGGCCGGCCTCGGTCCGCTCTCTCCCGTCGGCGGTGCAGGCGGAGGCACGGGCGCGCGCGGCAGCGGCACCGTCAGTGTGCCCCTGACGCCCGGCATGCCTGGCTTTACGTTCCACGCCATCCCACAGACGCCGCCGACGTATCCGCATCACTTCCTCTCGCCTGGCCTTGGACCCTTCAGTCCGCCACTCGGCGCCGATCATCCCGCAACGCCCGGCGCTGGCTCGAGCGCCTTCAACCCGCTCATCAATCCGGCTCCTGGTGCGCCGCTGCACAACCCGCTCTTCCCACCCGTCACTAGCGCGCAGTATGCGCCGCCGTCGGGCGCACATCAAGAACAGCCGCAGACGCAGTCGCAGAAGCAGCTGTCCGACGCTGCCTCGCAGACGACGCAGCAGGCTGGCGACGGTCGACTGAGCGCCCACTGTGCCAACGGCACGTCGGGCGCGGGACCTGAGTCGAGCACGTCGAGCACAAGCGCCGGAGGCGAAGGCTATCCTTTCCCTCTGGTGCAGCCTCATCTTGGCTCTTCGCTGCTGCAGCGTCGCGCAAGCAGCACCTCTGCGGCCTCGCCGGCTGGCGAGACGCAGCAGGGCAACGTCGAGCAGCAACGCAACGATGCTGCTGCTGCTGCTGCTGCACGCTGCGAGGCTGAGACGGATGGCTCGCAGGCGCTGACGGAGACGATTGCACGCCTGAGTGTGCGTGGCAAGAGCAGCGGCTCGAGTGCCAACTCCAAGCTTTCGATCGGTCCCGGCGAGACACGTCAACGACACCCGCTTTCCTCGCAGCTGCTTGCCGGCGACGGCCTCTCGTTGCCGCAAGGATCCGCCATCGACGACACGACGTCCTCCTCCAGCTCCGGCGGCGGCACGCCCGGCTGGGCGCCGCCGCCTGCGGCCCTTGCGCCGCCGGCGCTGGGCAGCAGCCACACGCTGCGCCGCACGTCGGACCAGCCGCCGTCGGCCACGGGACACAAGGCGGCGGCGGGCCACTTTGGCGCACATCTCAGTGCGGATGCCGAGAGGAGGCGCAGCTTTGCCGGTGGACTGCAGGAGTAGGGACGCGTGGTCTCTCTCTCTCTCGCACCCGCCCGACGCCCTCAACATCCAACGGCGAGGCCCCTTTTCGCCTCGAACGCACTCGCACCACCTCGTGGCCTTCGACGCTCGCTCCCTTTGACCCTCTCGCACTCTCTATTTAAAGTCAGCAACGCTGCTCCCGTCGACTTGTCTCTCGCGAACTTGACCCTTCTTCATCCTTGTCCCACCCCCGGTGTCACTCCTTCCCTCAAGCAAAGCTCCGCCCCTTCCCTCCCCTCCCTAGTCAAGCGCTCCCCCGCTGCGCATCTCGAGCGTCCCCCCTCTTCCCCTCTCCTCTCTCTTGCGAACCCCTCTTGACTCGTTCCGGGCAGTGCGGAATCAAAAACGACCGTGACCTCTCTCTCTCTCTGCCGCTCACCCCTTACGGCGTCCGACGCACGTGTGCGGCTGACTCCGCCCCGGAGCTCGGAGCCTGAGCTTCGCTTGAGCATGAAGCGTGGTTGCATGACAGCTCGGCCTCCGGCCTCTCTGCGCACCCGTGGGGCGTGGTGCGATGCGGTGCGGAGGAGCACGCGCGCGCGCGCTCGGCCGCGGCGACTAGCGTCGTTTGATGAAGGCACATAGCCCCATCAGGTGCTGGGTGCCGAGACAGGCGTTGTGCCTGGATGAGCGCCTGGGTGCAGCCACGCCACCTCAGAGGGAGACGCGATTAGCGCGCTCGCGGCGTGGCGGCCAACGTGCGCCTCTCCGCAAGCACACATCAGGGCGGCACCGCCTCCTCCCTGATTGCTGTTCTTCTTGCGCGCCGTCAGGCCGCGTTTGTCCCGCCCGCCGTCAGGCAGACACAACAGCAGGCCGGCCGACTGAAGGTCCCCAATTGGTGCGGCGTGCCTGAAAGTGGTGGCCGAGGCTTGAGGCTTGAAGGGGGGCGTTAGAGTGTGTGAGTGAGCGTGAGGGGTCTGAGCGCCTCTCGCGCCCCTCGCGCGCCTCCCCCGGAGGCTAGCCTTACAAGCCTAGCCTGTGCCTTCGGCCGTTCATGCTCCTTCTCGTCCGCCACCTCACCCCCCCGCCCCTCCCCCACACTCCCCATCTCTCTCCGACACCTTGCCCAATCCATCAGCTACCCGCTCAACTCTCCCTCTCCCGCGCGATCCTCTCTCTCCCCCCCCCTCTCTCTCTCTCTCTCGCGCGCGCGCGCAGCCCTCTCTCCCTTTGCTCCCCCGTCCCGTGCTCCTCCCAGGTGTGGGTGCCCAGCCATGCTGCTTCTCCCTTCCTTCGTCGCTCTCGCCGCGCTGCTTGATGCCGCCCTTGCACTTCCCGCCGGCGCCACCCTCCGCTCTCTCCCCGGCGTCGGCGGCGATGCGCCCACCTCGCACGCTGCCCTGCGTCGGCAACTGCAGAACGTCTCCGACCCTCTGCCCGCCGGCGACCGCAGCTACTTCCAGCAGGGCACGCCCACGGCCGTCGCCGCCTCGCTTGTGGAGCGCATCCAGGTCGGCGCCAATCTCGCCTCGGCCATGTACTGTCCCTCGGTGCAGGCCGGCGCGTGGACGTGCGGCGCGCCGTGCGAGGCAGCGGGCGAGGTAAAGGTGCTGTACACCAGTGGCGATGGCGACCTGGACCCGCATCAGAATGTGCTGTGGCTCGAGCAAGAGAAGGCGGTTGCTGTCACGGTGAGTTTCGTGAAGGGAGGGGAGGGGGGGGGAAAGAGAGGAAAAGAGCGTAGAGCTGAAGGAGGGCCGCATGAACAGACGGAAGGCTCGAACCTTGACAAGCTCTACTCGACTCTCAACGGTACGCCTTCCTGCCAACCCAAAGACGCAATCTTCATCCCCATCACTCCGACCGAGGCGATCCACAAGTCATGGGCCACCTACTCGCTCTCGTCGGAGTCTCCCTCGGGGGCGCTCGACGCTGGCGCCGCGCTGGCCCACGGCGGCTTTCTCGCGGCCTTCAAGCGCGGATATGAGGGCCTGCTGGCCGCCACGCTCGCGGCGCTGGCAGCATACCCGCAGGCGCAACGCCTCATCATCACGGGCCACTCGCTCGCCAGTGCCATTGCTGAACTCAACCTCCTCGCCATGCGCTCCGATCTCAACACGACGCTGCCGTTTGAGTTCCTTGGCTTTGGCTCGGTGAGTTTGTGTGC